TAAAGTTGCTGACATTGAGGTGGCTGCTGACCTTGGGTTTCATCTCTTTGATTTTCCTTATCTTCTTCATTGCCATCCTCTCTAGGCTGTCTTTGGCAAGGAGGGCCCCTGCGGAATTGTGCTCTATAACCTCGATACATATTCTGTCTCACTTGTCTTCCTTGTTCTCTTGCACCCTGGTTGTCAGCACCCTCCATCACTTCTCCTTGTACAGGAAGGTTGGAATATTGTGGCCGATGCCCACAGGGTCTCCGCCTGTAGTGAGGTGGGAACCTTCGCCTGCGGTAGGGCCGGCCTTGTTGGGCCTCGCCTTCGGGAGCGCCCTCGATCCCTCATTCTTTTCCCTACTCTCACTATTCTGGTAATTCTGCTGGTGATTGCGTGGAAGACCCCTATGATGTGTATAGTGTCTACAACGGTTACTGTCTGCTGCGTATTTATTGCCTTGAACTGGAGCTCCACCAGGGCCTGTAACATTTGCCGCCTCTGCACCCTTTCTCCTTCAACAATCAAGCTCCACAGTCTCTCTGCCTCTTACACCGTGAAGGTCCTTCCTGGGGTTATTCTTTATGGCAGTCTGGTGTACAAATACATCTTCCTGGGTGTCATTCCTGTTGACGAAGCCATATCCGTTTCTTACATTGAACCATTTTACTGTTCCCCAAACCTTCGTTGGGATGACCTTCTTGTTCCTGCTGCCTCTGGCAGGAGCCCTCCTGCCCTCCCAAGTGAGGCCGCCCGGGCCACCGCTCCCTGCGCTGCTGCCCGTGATGCCAGGCGGTGGGTGGCTGCGGGGGTTTCTTTCTCACTGCTCCTGGTTGCCGTGCTGGTGACCCGGCCAGCTGAGGCTCCTCCCGGTGTGTGCTGGTAACTAGGCCTGCGGCGACGGTGGGGCTGCTCAGGGCTGATTGAACTAAAAATCAGTGATTGTGAACTTGGGTTTTTAAAACTTCTGTCTCTCTGTGTCTCTCTGTCTCTCTCACTGTCTCTGTCTCTCCCTCTTCCTCCCCTTTCCCCT